ACTACAATTACACCTCATAATCACACATTAACTACATCATAAAACACTTCCATCAACTTACTCAACTACATATAAACTCATACTATAACATATACATCAATCTCCTATACATTAACAAAATATATCCACCATTCCAACATCCACACAACATTAAATACACTAACATCATATAACCACTCTAACAAACTTCATCACATCATACAATCATCTACATTAACACAATAACATACCACATACACCAAATCAACTACATCACATTAACAAATCTATTACATCATACTACACCATTACCATCTAATAACTATAACATCTACCTCACCATCACCTTACACCATATCATCTACACTATCCCATCCACTATTCATTACATATAATCACCTCCCTATATCATCCCATCATCATCTCATCCATCATATACTCATCACATAATCATAATTCATCATATTAATCATTATCCATCATCATCATTCATCATATCATATAACCATCATCAAATACATCATAAATCATTCATCATATATACAATCAAATCATCAATCCATCATCATAACTCATATATCATCAACATCATAATCATAAATCATACATCATCATACATATCATACATCATATCATAATATATCATATCATACATCTATATCATTTATATCATCATCCATAATCATTCTATTCCCATCTATCAATCATAATCTACATCATTATCATACATCATATCATTAATCCATATCTATCATCTATCATAACATCTATACCATATTATCACTATATCATAATCATACATCATAACAATCATATCAACATTCATCTATAATATCATTATCATCATTAATCAAATCCTATCATCATATCTAATCATCATCTACATCATCATATTCACCATCATCATATCTATCATCATCAATAATCATAACATATCATCATCATCATACATCATATCATCATAAATCATCATCCTCATCATCAAAACATATCATCATCTCAATACATCATACCATCCACATACATCATATATCATCTTACATCATATATAATCATCATAACCATCATCATACATAATCATCCATCATCAAATCATATACATCATATCACCATCAAATAACATATAAACATCATATATCCATCATCATATCATCATCATATCAACAACATTACTCATCATCATATCACATATCATACTCAAATAAATCATCTATCATAACATATCATAATATCATCTCATACATATCTAACATCATCTAACATCATAATCATCTACATCATCATATCATCATAATTACATATCATATCATCATCATCAACATAAATCATATCATCAAAACATACAATCATAAATCAATCATCATACATAATATATCATCATATCATCATCATATCTCAAATACATACCACATCATCATCATAACATCATCACAAAATCATCATATCATATCTACCCCTACCCTACATTTATCACCCCACCAAACCTACCCCCAACAACACATAAAAAAACCACACTATACCCATTCTACTAACCTTATTCCTGTAATACACCCCTACTACTTCATTCCCCACCCTTTATGATCAAATTGTAATAAATTCACAACAAATACCACAATCAAACCCCTTATACTATCTCATACCCTATCTATCCAATCTACTCCACTATCTATCCAATCTATATACCCCTATATAGATCCCCTTTTTTTATTATATACTCTCGATCCCCATATCTATACCATATAATATCCATGCTATTATCCATATATATCATATCTATCCCTAACACTTCCATAAGATCATATTTTACACGATATACGCCTATTTCTTCAATATTTATACCATATTTACACCCCATCATTTATCCATTTCAACAAATCTACGATTTTGTCCTACCCATTGTCTTTAATTATGTAAATATCTGTCTAAATATTATGTGAAACGACTCAGTGTGAATCATCACATTGATACAACACTACGAGAGAATCCCCACCATTTGACAACAACACATTTATAGCTTCATGCAAAGGGAGATTTTCACACAAATCTAAATACAATATCCTGCTATGGAAACGTGTTAATTATATATTTATTGTTTGCATAGGCAAGCTTTATTTTCCAATAATCTCAAGATTCCAAGTAGTAGCATCTGCTTCTTTGACTTGTATTATGGATGAAGTAACCTCTTGCAGCGTTTTAGGTTTAAAGATCTGCTGTGAGTCCAGGCCATATATAAGTGCAGTTAAGTATGTGTCACTGAGGATATATTTTTTCCATATTTGTAATTCACCAAGTCATGTCGCAACAAGTACTCCGTTAATATTAACAAAGCAAAAACCGCAGGGAAACATATCATGTCTCACTCAGTTCTCTATTGGTCATCTCTTTGTTCTCTTGTTCTCTCTCTTCGATCTCTCATATGGTCTCTCAGGTTCTCTCTGTTCAATCAGGTCTTCTCTGAGTCTTCCATGGTCTCTCCTTGGTACTTTCTTGGCACTCTCTTCGGTCTCACTCTGGTTGAAAAC